GCGCGGGATGAAGCTATTATTTTTATTATGTTTTTAAAAATGAAACAATAGTTCGGTTTCATTCGGATTAGAGGTGTTCAATCCGGATATCGGGTTTCGGTTCGGCTCGATTTTTTGGTATTTCGATCATTAAAATATAACTACTATTCTAAATCTATATGTACTTTAGTTTGATTTGGTTTATATATCATCGGTTTTCAGTTTATTCAATTTTATACCGAAAAAACATAATTATTTAGTTTGAGATCATATTATATGTTATACAAATATATAATATGATCATATTTAGAGTCATATTGTCACAAAGTCATTTATTAAAAAATATTATATATTTAAATAAAAAAATAAAAAAAAACAAAAAAGACTTCTATCATCTAATAAAATGATCAAATCTAAAATTAATATCAAAACACTAAATTTTGAAAAGAAAATAAAAACAAAACAGAAGCATGAAAAAAAGTTTTTATATTCTTCCATATTTAGTGTTCATCAAACCAATATGTCTTCGATTGTTTAAAGATAAAAAAAAAGTTGTAAAGAATTTCAACTAATTGTTGTCCATCAAATTTATAATCTTTACTTCAATTTAGTTACTGTTAAAAAGGCAAAAGATCAAAATAAGAAGTCTTAGTTGTAATAAATTGTTAGCTATTTAAAAATTATAATTATAGTTCAACTCATGTAACAAATAGATATTCATGCGTCGTTATAAATGTATACATATTTACATGTTTCAGTTTAATTGATTATAAATCAAACTATATCCAAATCCTATGGTTTTTATAAAATCACATCCATTCGGTTTGTATGGTATATACCAAAAATAACCATATTATCGATTGTTAATATCTTTTAAAAAAATAAAATTAAAAAAAGAACTAAGATATTTAAATCATTGATAACAAAAAATTTCAATGTGAAAATTTTAATAAGTTTATAATTTATATATGTTCTTGAAAATTTATTGAAAATTTTGAAATTAAAATATTTATGTAATCTTATATGGTATATAGTTTAATCTGTATATATATATATATATTTTTATTATTGAATGATACTTTTTACTTATATGGTTTTAAAATCATGTATATCTTTTTATAATAAAATGTTAAACTATTGATCATTAATTTTAACATAATAATTTTAATAGTTTAGTTATTTATTCTCGTTTCTTAAAATTCAAAATATAACCTATACGAAAAAATCTAAAGTTTAATTTTATAGCTAATTTGATTGTTTAATTTATTTTAATAATATAAAATTAAAGAAAAATGATGGAGGATATATAAACTGTTATCAAATATTTATTATTAAAATCATTAAGTGTCATATATATATATTAGTCATTTATGGTAATTCCGTAGGTTTTATTTATGGAAATAAAATAAAATAGTAATTATATCTTAGGGAACAATCATTAAGTGTCATATATATATATTAGTCATTTATGGTAATTCTGTAGGTTTTATTTATGGAAAGAAAATAGCATATCATATCATTATATCATATAGTTTGACTAACTAATGTATCTAGCAACCTATAAAAATCCAATGTGGACTTACTTATTTTTCAATTGAATCTAATTGACTACCTAATTGAATGACACCTATGCATTGGGGCCTCTTTTAATTAATACAAAATTGAGGTTACATCTTTTNATGGAAAGAAAATAGCATATCATATCATTATATCATATAGTTTGACTAACTAATGTATCTAGCAACCTATAAAAATCCAATGTGGACTTACTTATTTTTCAATTGAATCTAATTGACTACCTAATTGAATGACACCTATGCATTGGGGCCTCTTTTAATTAATACAAAATTGAGGTTACATCTTTTCAAATGTTCCTCAGTTAATATATAGGGGATAACATTACAGGAACCAATTGGAAATAAACAAAAAATACAAGAATCAAATGTTCTTTTTTTTTTAAAGTTAAAAACAAGTGTTTATGACGTAAGACATGAGAAGGGAAAATTGAAGAAAGCAAAATTGTGAGCTAGCTGGATCGCATAGATGAAACAGAGAATCTTTGAAGAAATAATGGTTTTAGTTGAAATTCCTATAAACGAAGAAACAAATCTTGTTCCTCGTGTGATCGAAAGAAAATGAAGAAAGTAATATAACATATCGCTTTCTTTTTTGCACTCAACAACACGAATCGATTCAAAAACCTGTTGGTACTAGCTAGTAAATTAGTAATCTACAAAACTTTGTTTTCACAAGCATACAGAGAAAGATGCTCTAGTATTGTTGAAGATTAGTATTGTATTATATGAACCAGTGAAAGTGTTAAGCTCATAATCTGACCAAGCCATTTGTCTTATAATTTAAATAGTAACCCATTTATACTAAATAAATTTTGAACCAAAAAGAACTAACACTTCCAACATCACTAAACTACCAACATGTAACAGTGATCTTAGGAATAATAGAGTTTTGTTTATTGGCTTACATGGATAATTAACCAAAAAAATGTCTTCCATGTTTATTAGAATGAATCAGATCGAATATTTGAGGTTTTGTCGCTTTGAATAACTCACGGTTTAATTCAGTACATAAGGCCAATACTATAGAGTTTTGAAACTATCTCAATACCATTTTTATTTGCAGCACGATGTTAGTGAACAACATCAAAACCCTAAACATATCAGATACTGTTCCAAAAAGAAAAATATTAGATATATAGAAAGATATGCTCTATATTTGACAAATAATTTTTGTCACGAATTTGAAAATCAATTGATATATACATACATATTTGTTTTCTTGGTGAATCCAAACAGATTTTGATACGTGTCACAATATAATTTACGAAATAAATAGATCATTGATCTAGACAAAACATATATAGTTTGGATTCCAAAAAAAAAAAAGCATCTTATGTGTTTTGGAGTGTGGGTTACGGTCCCTACGGATAGTTACGTCCGTTTTGTTTGCTAACGTAAAAGGAGCGACGCGGAGGAACGAAGGCATAATGCAGCATCTGAATAAAAGGATCGAAGCTTTTTTAAAGTTTTCAATGCCAACAACTTAATATCTACCATGCATGCATGAGTCTCTCTTATATATGACTGAGATAGAGAAAAAAAATCATATATTCTTTTCTTTTTCTAATCATATATTCTTCTGTTTTGGTGGATTTTACAAATCTTGTATTAGGAGGTCAGTTTGGAATATTTATTCTTTTTTTTAAGATAGTCCAAAACTTAAATGTCAACATGTTACCCATTAAGATTTCAAGTGAGTTACATTCATTTACCTTGATATAAGAAAAATCAATTCCAACAAAAAAAAACATACAAGAATAATTTTTGTTACGTATTGTCATTCTTTTTTTACACTTCTTTAAAACACAGTTATTGCCGTTCATTGGTCAGATTTTCTCGGTTTTATAATATTTGATGTTTTAGAAGCTTTTTTTTTGTTTCGAAATAGATGATATTTTTAAATTGTAAACTAATTTATCTATTTTATGTTTAATAACTGTTTATATTCAGAAATTAGTTTAATTATTAATTGAATTATGTTTAAGTATGTATTAATAATCTTTTGTTTGTAAAATATGAGGAAAATGTCTCTAAAGTGTGTATATTTAATCTTTAAATACAACTACTAAATAAACTCCAATTCTAACCAAACCAGAAAATCAGTACCTCACTCATAAACACAAGTTTATTCAGTTATGTAAAACAGCAAGTGCAGCTTTTGCAAAACATGAAAGGTAAGTTGCGTCAGGGTGAGTACAATGTGGCATGTGACAAACTTTGCGTCCTGTCTCTTTCGCTTACCACTAATTCTAGTATTCCAGTCTCAGTACATGTATCATTTAACACGAACAAAACATTAGAACAACTGTAAGATAGTATTAAGGAAGATGACAAAGTTTTAGTAAGCCAGTGAAAGAATTTATGTGTTTAAGTGACTCTATTCAGAGGTTTTGATGTAAAGGAATCTGATGACATTCTCCACACAATACTCAGTTAAAACACACAACAATATAGAGAGAGACTAAAGTCAGAGACATTATTAACTTTTACCGTGAAAACGGCTACAAAACTAACCTTAGAACTCTTTGATCTGTGTTCAAAAAAAAAAAAAAAAAAAAGAACTCTTTGATAAAAAAAAACTAACCTTAGAACTCAAAACAAATCTCTGTCTTACGTATTGGTTCCAGATATATGTTTGCATCAACCCTTTAATTAAAGCAATCTCATTGTTCTATCTCCATCCTTTAACCTGTAATTCCCCACTTATACAAAGAATCTTTAAATACCTAATGGGTTCTATCGTATATATGCATCAACTCTATTCATTTCGTTTTTGTCATGGTCCAGACACAGATATATCCATGCTTAGGATATTGTTGTGAGCATAAATCAAATTCGAAGAAACAAAGATAATTAAAAAGCAAAATTTGATTGAGTCAAATATGCGTTTCATGGTTTGTATGTTCGTTGTGTGAATGAATAATTTATAATTTCTGAGATTCATATCTATACAGCCTCCAACCTATCCCTTTAGGAAAATTATTTATCTACTAGAAGCGATTTTTCCTAATTCCAAAAGATATGCGATTAAAATCACTTATTGATGCACTGAAGTCACTTCCAGAATCATCACACATCAAGATCACATCAAATTATTTAAAAACGAATTTTGTTTGGTTCCTATAAACAAAAGAAACCGTTACATGAGTTAAGTCCATGTGTAAACTATGGACCTCATGTACTATTGCACTACACTAGCAGGCCAATAAAGACATCCCTATAAGGCAAGCAAAGGCTATCTTCAAAAAGAAAGATCTTGATCAGATTAATTTGAATCTAAAACAAACAAACGAAAATCACACTGGTATCAACCATTTCTATATAGTCTAAAACAAACAAACAAATGAAAATGTAAAAAACATCTTAAAAGTTTCTATACCCAATCTGTCTTTTTCTTTCTTCTCCACTAGTTATTTTTCCCTGACCTAGCACATCAACGTGATCATGCATTTATTCCACCAGACAGTGGTCCATATCCCCAATTTACTTCACCTTATAAACACTTTAAAATGGTTCAATCTTGTCAACAATATCACCAAGTCCCATTCCTCAACATTGCTTAACCTACAAGAGCTTATGGAGGGAAAGAAAACACAAGGACAAGGGTATCTGAAAAAGAAGGCTAGTGTGTCTTACCTTGTGGAAGAAGAAATGGAGAATGATACGGACAGAGAGGAGGAAGAGAACAGGAGAGGTGTGACGGATAGGTTTAAAGGATCTAGCGGCAGCAACGACCGTGGCTCATCACGGCTTTGCCAAGTAGATAGATGCACAGCTGATTTGAAAGAAGCTAAACAGTATCACCGGAGGCACAAAGTGTGTGAAGTTCACGCAAAGGCATCTTCTGTCTGTCTCACAGGCATTAAACAACGGTTCTGTCAACAATGCAGCAGGTACCGAACAAACGTTACCCTTCAATACGCTTTCCATAATTTTATATATTTAGTGTCGAGATCACACATCGAAAGTTTAAAAGAACCAACACTGATATATAGACTTCGATCGATCTACTTATGATCAATTGGTTTTAAGTTAGAAGTTAGGAAACTTAATATGGTATTGTTATTAGAGCTCGGAGCTCCTAATATCTAGACATCTTTTTCTGAAACAGGTTCCATGAGCTCCTAGAGTTTGATGAAGCTAAAAGAAGCTGCCGGAAGCGCTTAGCTGGACACAACGAGAGGAGGAGGAAGAGCTCTAGTGAAAGTGTTGGAGAAGGGTCAGGTGGCCGAAGAGGAGTAACAGCTCAGATGATCCAGAATCAAGAAAGATCAAGGGTAGAGATGACACTTCCTATGTCACACATATCATTCAAGCGACCACAGATTAGATAGAGAAGCTGTCTGCTCTCTCTCTTCTGTCATTATAAAATTTCTCTTAGAATATGAGATTGTGGTATCTAACAATGTCAAAAAAAAAACCCAGCTGGAGTCATGGTATGACTCATCCTGGTATAGATAAATAAATGATAACTACCACTCTTCTAGCTATGTATTCCTGTGATGGATACCTATTATGAATGAGATAAGTCTAGTGTGCCATGTATGTTTTCGAAGATGAATGATGTTTAATGCTAATTGGTAAAAGGTTTTCAATTAATACAGATTCGAGTAAGGAGTGTGAGTTATCCAAAAGCACAGGAGACTAACCGAAAGCCACTACCACCACGGTCACGTACTGAAGTTTCAGAGCCACGAATGAGATATCCATCTTAGGTTTTTGTTGGCTTGACATAAAAAACAACAAGTAGATTACAAGATTTGAATAAACCAACGACCATTGTCAGTTAAATCGTTGAGAGTGGATTATGATAGTAGCAAACCTTCTGGCCTCCTAATTTCTGGTGGACCAAAACGATGTTGGGCTTATTACTCGTGATAAAATAAAACTAATAATCAAACGATTAAAATTTTGCTTCATTTTTCCTTTTTAGTTTCGGTTATTGCAAACTCTTTTGAGTATCTTGGACAGGCGTAAACTACACAACTTTATTTTTTTCTCACAATTACCTAATCATTAATAAGTCTAGCTAGGGTTCATTAAACGTTAAGCAAACTCGAAGAGTCTCTAAAACAAAGAGAAGTAGAGTCAATGATGATTATTAAGCATGGAGTTTGTTAATCATATAACATGTGGTCCTTCGCTAATCCCCTATAGAATGGGCCAGCTATGTTTGCTAAAGAAAACACGAATGAGAGACAAAAGCCACCGAGTGAGATCTTTGTCTTGAATTCTGCTTGAGTTTAATGCTCTTCATTTTTTATTTATTCGGAATGTGTGTGTATTATTATGATATTATCCTAGTATATGATTTTCATTTATCTTGTCTCCGATTAGTTTTTGGCTGGCACAAAAATTGCAGTTATGACTACCAATAAATGTGTTTTGTTTATATGTTAAGATAGGTCAACATTCTGCTACACTGAAAGTATTGATCCTAAAAAGTTGTTGAGTCAAATAGCTTGTGTCGATAAAACTAGATGAGTTTTTCAACTGGTATTGTATTTTTCTACTAAATCAAGTAAAAAAAAGCATTGCTTATTTTTATCATATCATCATTATTATTATAGTACTAACATCATCCATGAACTCCAATAGGATTTTTGATAAAATTAATAGACTTAAAGGTTAAGTTGATTTTATTTATTTTTTGATAAAAACTTGAAACTGAGTTTTCACCAATATTTATGAATCTTGATTGATTTTGTGAAGAACTGTTAAATTTCGTTTTTGTAAAATTTGCCAAATTGTATTTTGTGGAAAACTATACTGATGATGATAATGTGTGAGTGATGAAAATGGTGTTTGGTGATGGCTATATTTGTATTGAAATGATGTTATGACTGATAATACGTATATAATATAAATAATACAACTAATACTCTTTTTGTGAAACATAGAATTAATACTCAAAACAATACTCTTTCCGTTTCAATTTTGTTGTTGTAGTAAAATAAAATTTTTGTTTTAAAATAATTGTAGTTTTATAATTTCAGCAAAATTTATTAACTTTATATATTATTCCATTTTTCTATCAGTTAAATATGGTTAGATGTATACGTAATTGTGTTTTTTTCTAAAAAAAATATAAAATTAAATATTTTCTTAGTCTGTCTGTTAAATTCAAAATAACAACTAAATTGGAACGGATGGACTATTAAACAACATATGAAATAACAATTGTGTCTCAGTCTAGACCACAAAGGTCTAAATCTTAAAATATGAATTATATATTCCATTTGCATGTGATACCAGTTAGATTACGAACATACATAGGTTTTCTCTTCTTCTTTTGGTTGCCTGTATATTTTTAAATAAGCTTACATTAAGCCATTGTTGCTTTCTGCTGAACACTTTAAGAATATTTTTTTTGCAGATCGTGTCCCTTGTTACAAGAACCTTCAAAGTTCAGAGAGTATGTGTCTCTGGCCTTTACAATTGTAAATAAATTGTTATAAACAACAAATTTGCTCTTTAAAAGATTATTTTATCTACTTATAGGAGCAATAAAAATATATAGAGATAGATAATGCCTCGTGATGAAAAAAATGTAAGCAACATGTGGGATCGTATAGGGATCCAAAACACTTTAAAGAGTTAGACAACATCATGACACGAACACTATAACCATTAACCACAACTTCACTTGGATCTCATTCTTTGATTGTCCCCACAAGAAGTCAAACAATGAGATGGCAAGTCTTTGACTGCCGTACCCTTGTCGCCACGTGCCCCGCTTCAAACTCCTTATATAAACACAAGTTTAAACTAATAAACACATTCACACACAAGCAGATGGAGGACAACCGAAGCAATACCCCAAGCACCGGCGAAAAAATCCCGGTTACGTCGCTGGAGATGTCATCATCTGACTTTGAATTTGGATCTTTGACTCCTTCCTCACCATCCCATTCAGAACATTCTCCCGCCGATCACCTTTTTCTCAACGGCCGTCTTTTACCACACACTTTTCCCATGACCCGTTCGGCGTCACGTACCACCAGCGAGAACACATTCCGGAGTAGCAGCACTAGTAGCCGGAGTAGTGACAGCAGCAGCCAGACATCTTTTACTCCAAGAACAAGCACTTGCAGTGTCTTCAAAGAAGAGACTAACTTAACTTGTTTTGGTTCTCGGTCTGAGAAGACAAGGATCGCAAGGTCTGTGACTTGCAGCATCAGAAAAGAGTCTTATCAGAGTCATCACAAGTCATCCTCAGTACTGGATTTTAATAAGAAACCACCAACGAACAATGGTAAAAGAGTCAATACTACAACGACGAGTAAACTTTCTTATTTGCCTACTCAATGCAAGAGAAAGAAGGCGACGGAGATCGTGACGGCGCAGCTATACGGGTCGTATACGAGGCGGTGGCAGCATATAACTCCGGTGTTTAAGAGAGAAGGGTCGGTGAAAAGTAACGGAGGAGGGATTAAGGTTGGTGGAAGGAAGAATAGGAAGACGGCGAGGGGGAAGAAGAAGAAGAAGAAGACAAAGGCGGAGGAGAGAAGAGGAAGTAAGTTAATGAAGTGGTGGAAGAGGGTTTTAAAGGCGGTGATGTTGGCTTGCAGGGAGTGTCATGCAATGGAGCCTCAACGAGTTGTTAATTATGATGCTGATGTGAAAGAGAAAATAACAAAATGTTCATAAACAATTTGCATTGTGTGTATTTTTTTTTTTGTTTTTAATCTATTTCTTATTTTATTTTTTCCCAATAAGAACATATTAGGAAATAATACCTATAACAATATAACATCCCTTAAAATTATTACGCTTTTCATTTTATTTTATTTATAAATAAAAACTACTATTGCAGTTTTGCCATAACTAGATAAACTATATATTTGTATTCAAATTTCATTATGCAAAACTTATCTCAAAAATACTATAGTTGGTTATGGAATTTTGAAAGAGTCATACTTTTTTAAGTTCATCTAAAGAGTCATATAATTAAATACTATAATTTATAATTTAATTTCCTCTATAGTTTTGAATTAAACTAGATCAGATTAAAGTTTTTTCTTACTTTGGCTATTTTCTCTGGTTACATATACTATCATGTGTAGTAAGTAACTGCTCCTTTTAACCATCCCAAATTGATGAGCGGACACCCACTGAAGACGAGAGACACGCCAAGGAAAGTGTTACTTGAGAGACAGTGGAAAGTAACGACCTTAGGGCAAACACTACTTCACATGTGCTTATGTTGTGACTTGTCGAGTGAAAGTAAAATAATGTCTAGCACCTAGGACATGGACAAGAATGAGGATGGGTTCTTTCAAGCCGTCGACTCTAACTTCATCACTCATCTCGTTAAACTCTCCGAATGGATAATATCCATTATGGGATATATACTCTTTGAGCTTGCAAACATGTCGAATAATCCCCGGGCCACTAAGACTTGTAGAGAAATGTATTTATCTTAAGCTCTCCATAACCAAAGAGTATATTAGGAAATTTTTTGATGAAGCTAAAACATTTGTGTTCAAGAAATCACATTCTCATCGTCATGAGTCTCCAAGAGGATGAATTTTCAGACAAGGTTTGTTAAGAAGTCATACACAGAATCTCGATACTCTGTTCAGTTGATATCCTTCTTCTCTAGAAACTTAATTACAGAATTATTATTCGCCAGATTCAGAAAAGAATCAGGCCAGTGTCTACAGAAATTTATGAACTGTAAGAATATCCACATCGGTGGAGTGTCAAACATATAGTAATTTCAACTTGATAATATAATTGAACTATATTTAAAGCACAGAGCTTTTAATCATGCAAGCAAAGAAACAAATGCATATCTGAGCTATCATACAACAATATCAATAAGAGAACACTAATCTGACTTACTTTATTGCTTACAGACAACCCTGTTAGACCAATGTTCTCTTATTGAAATTGTTGTAGGATAACTACTGTTTACATTAAATTGTCGGTAAAATAGCTATAGTTTTCAGCCCTATTGTCATTCTCTCTCAAGTATAGCACAATGATCATTTCCCCTTTTCTAACTAGACCTTTTACTTCATATGTGGCAGAGATGACGAGATGCAGATAAGAAGGTATCTTTTAGATTAACGTAAATGTTTTGGTAATTATTAGTAGTGCAAGATTGTCGTGTTCACTTCATATTTGAGTATTGTCACAAAACCGTTGTATCACCGAATAGTATGGTTCTTAGCTCCACCAGACCAAGTTATGGATCATCATGGATGGAATATATGGATGGTGGGAGTTTGTGGCTTAGCTACCGACCTTGTATGTATTTTCACCACACGCCCGGGAAAACAGAGCTTCTTCTCTCCCTTTGGCACTTTCTTCCACAAGTGCAATAACAGGGAAGCATATACATATTTATATAATACAACAGATAAGATAATATCACCAGTTCCAGATGATTAAAAGTGCCATTTAATTCTCTTTGTTGGTCTACTTTCAATTTCCTGCAAAGCAAGCTAACAACATTTCCATTTGCTTCTCCAAAACCCGATTAAAAATTAATACTTGAAGGTCATGAGTGATTAGAGAAATGAGGCTGAGGCTGTGGAAATCTCCACTGATACTCTATCCAAGGCCGGCTCTTAGAATTATGAGGTCTGAGGTGAGGTGATTTCTTAATGATTTCACCTAAAATTTTTTTTTAATGGATTTGAGATCTAAAATATTTTTCTTTTTAGGTCTATATACATGTAATTTTTTTCAAAAAAATTTAAAGGCTAAAACTAATGTTTCATCCGGTTTTGCCCAATGCCGATCCTGACTTTATCCATTTACTGCTACCTTGATCTCCCGCTCAACACACGATTCGTGTGACACGAATACGACAGTCAGGATGATCAGAATACGACAGTCAGAATGATCAACCTTTTTTCTAAAAAAAATAGATTCACTAGCTAGACAAATTAATGGACATCCTTGCTTTAGAAGTCGGTTGCAATTCATTCGGTCGTGTTTGGTATCACCAACTTATGGTGTTCAGCATTTGTTTTCCTCAATCCATGTTTAAATTAAATAGAACAATTATCTCTAATGATTCTAAAGAGATTATTTAAAGAGAGAATTAGTCAAATGTCCAAAGTTGAAGTCTATATTAGGCAATTACCCATGATATAACATAAAAGTAAAGTTTTACACAATTTAGGCTTATTCAGACGATTTTGCCCTTCTCACATTCTCTTTCCCATGTGAAATATCTGACATCTCTCTTTCTCCAATGATTCTTCATCTCTTTCTTACATTCATTTTATTTAAACCACACATATTTTTTACATCTCTTACATTTATTTCTTTCTTTTTTTCTTGATTTTTGTTTCTCATCTACAATTTTATTTGTAAATGATTTTAAATTTACTCATTTTGATAGAGAAATGAAACTTCAACAATATTTATTAGTTAATATATAATACCTAACGCATGTATTGACATCTACAAAATTTATTAACAACTAATATCTCTGTTAGCACTTGTAATACATGTCTTTGTTAACAGCTAACACATCTGTTAACATTTACAAAATTTGTTAACAGTTAATGCCTCTATTAATACATCTGGTACATGTATTTGTTAACAGTTAACACTTTTGTTGACATCTATATTATTTGTTAACAGCTAACATAAGTGTTAACATCTCGGCGATTTTTAAAAAAACTTCAATGTTGATTTTTTCAGAATGTGGTGAAATTAAAATAATTTAGATTCAAAAGAATAATAATAAAATTGTAATAATTTTTTCGCAAAAAAAGAAGTAATTAAAATGATAAGAGAGTTTGAGAATGAGAAAGAAAAAGAATTAAAGGAAAGAGAGTGTGAAAGAGTGTGTCAGGAGAGAGAGAGAGTGTCAGGAGAGAGAGTGTGTCTAAAAGGAAGAGTAATTTGGTCATTATTTTTATTTATGTCAAATCGTGTGTATTTGGCTAATTACATGTGTTGATATGGTGTTTCAGCAAATATTCTCTTATTTAAACGTTATATGCAAAATAATACAATGTATTGCACACGAAAATACGTACATATGAGTAAGTAAGTGGTCCCTATTGGTCGGAGAAATTGTCAAAAGTATCAAAGAACGAAAGGACCAAGTCACATAGAATTTACATTATTTAATTAAAATCATACAATCGCAGTCACAGAGTTATGAAAACAACGGAGTTTTCTATAGACGCCGTTATCATCGACGTGGATCAAAACAGCGTAACTGACCTAGAATTAATAGGATCCAGTCATCTAGGTGACGTGCCTACAGTGACTATCTGTCACCTTCCATGTCTGATTAACACATGTAGTTACACGTGACAATGTCACATTGGGTGTTATTGCAAATAAGAATTTGTGTATGCATCTCTATTTGAGGCAAGCCCCTCTATTTCCAATTGTTACATAATAGTCTCCCACAAATTTTGAAATGGTCCAGGTTGCAAATTTGAAATGAAAAAGATCTATAGTTCTTATATATTACGTGAAATATATACAAAATTTATTATATATATATATTTTTTTTTTCTCAGCAACATAAATAGATTCATATAGACTCTATAAATCAAAACGGGCATTCTGAATCCATACGAACGATATTCAAAAATAATTTATAAGTATAAAAGTATAGTTTACATATATACTAGATCTTAACTCGTGCAACCGCACGGGTGTTTATTTCCAGATTTATATACATAGATATTGTTTTAGATCATTAATGATATACATTTTAACGTTGATTATATATTTGTATGTTTATAAAAATATTTCAGTTACAATAATTTTATAGTTTAGATGTTGTAATTAATCAGTTTCTCGTCACATGTATTTGTCTCTTTTTATTATATATTTATCTTATTAAATTTACGTTTAGTTATTAAACAAACTAATATATACATAAAATAAAATATTTGAAGATTATTATGTATTTAATTTATCTTAAATTCAGACCCATCTTTCAAAGCTGAATTTCTGTTAGCCATATTTTTTAGGGTTATAAATTTTAGATTATACATTATTGTATATACAAAAGTTTAAAATATGTTAATTTTTAGACATGTATTATATCTTTTGTTAATGTTAAGTCATTCTATCATGTATTATGGTTAGGGTTTAGATTTTAGGATTTATGGTTTAGAGTTTTGGGTTTAAGATTTATGATTTTAGGTTTAGATTTCAAGATTTAGGATTTGTAGTTTAGAGTTTGGGTTAAGGGTTTATGATTTAGGGTTTAAACTTTTGAATTTAGGGTTTATAGTTTAGAGTTTTGGGATTAGGATTTAGTTTTTAAGGTTTATGGTTTTAGATTTTAGATTTTAGAATTTAGAATATTGCAGACGGTGTTAATCTCGGTGTATTTTTTTCAGTTATTTTTTTTTAAATTTTATTACCGTTTTAATTAATCCTACATGATATTTCGGTCAGTTACAAAAAATGGGGTGAATTTAAGCATTCACCATAGTGGTGAACCTAAAAACACCTCCAATTGGAGGTTCTAACTCCGGGATTAAATCCAACCCAATTTTTTTTTATACATAACATTTTGGTTAGATTTCCCATAAATTAAGATTTCACAATTAAATACTAATATATATATATATATATGTATTTTAAAGATTCCGTAACTAGAACTCTCTCTTGAAGTTGTTCTAGGTATTGTTCGTCAAAGAGTACGGACGATGCAGTATTTCACATTTAATGTTTTGGGACCAGCCGAGCTAAACTCGCATCACAGGGAATATATAACCTTACTTAATAAAGACCGATTGTATGATTTCATCAACAAAGACGACAAATTGTTTGTGTGATACTCAAACTATTCTAGTTATAAAAGAAGAACTTTGGACTAATTTTTCCTCCTACAAGTTTGTTACAGCTCTAAATACAGAAGCTGAATCGGAGGTTCATCCAACGCTCTCACCCATCCAAGGCGCCAAGTAGAACATATGGATTCTACAATCAATACAAAGTCCAGCCCAGTTTGAATTTCAAGAAAATAGCCACGGAGCAAGAAGTTATGAATTTTACAAGACATAAGTTTTCCAGTCCATTCATCTGCGAGCATCATCCGATTTTAGAAGGAGTTTCAAGCCTAATAAAGTGGCCCGAGCTAAACCGATCATAGAAGTCAAAAGGAGCTTGTCAGATTTCCAGAAAGCCAAAAACCATGAGAAGGGGACGAGTAAACCAAGAGATATGATCAATTTCCCTAAACCGGTCAAACCAGCTCTACACTTGCCTTATTTGGAAGATCCGGATTTCGCCTCAATCCAATCTCAAGAAAGACGACCAGAGAGCTTCTAAATCATTCAGAGGCACTTCAAAATAACCTAAGGAGCACCAGAGAACATGGGATCAGGCGGATCTCAATCAGACTAGAAGATAAAACCGGTTTGCATCAATTGGCCAAACCGACAACAATTGAAGAGGAGCTTAACCTAATTCAGTTTGTTCCGACCCAAACTTATTTGTGGGAACTAGGAGATAATATAAACCAATCAGAAGACACCCATGAAGTCCTCAGATGCACCAGCACCCAGGAGATCAGGCAGATCTCTCACCCCACCAACCTTCCATATGTTGCAGCATTTACACTAAATGCAAAGGAGGATTTTGTGCATATGTTTTCCCAAGACCGTTGGCCATATCCTTTTTTCTTAAAGCCAAGGAATGTTTCAGGAAGGCTTGAAGGTCATGGCCACCTCCAGAAGCTATCCAGATACAAGGCTCCATTAATTCTTTTGGAAGAAGGCATATATCAAGCTAAATGCAATATTCCAATGATCCATCAAAGCCTTTGCTCACAAGCTTTTGATTTCGAGTTTATTGCTTTCTTTTATCATTTTATGACTGTTAGAATCTATCCCTGTCGAGCCTATAAAGCTATTGTCTTTGTTTCATTGTAAAACCACCCTTTTTTGAATCTTATGAATTATTCAGTTTTCTAGTTTTCTTAAAACTATTATCTTAAGTCTTTAAAGTTTGTGAGAATCAGCTCCAGAGCATCCTGATTTATCAAGGCTGATGTTCATAGTGTCTTGTGGCGTCCTCAATCCATCCATCATTTCATCTCATCCATTTGCCAAGCTTGAGAGTGACTTCAGTCCAACAAGCTTTGTTCCATCTCATTCCACTTCAATCATCTTTTGATTAGGCTGAGAGAGACTTAAGTCCATCAGTCTGATTCCATCATATCCTTTGTTAATTTACTTTGTTTTATCATTCATCTTGCATATCAATAATCCATATTTCTCCTTCTTAGTTTTGTTTGATTTCTTATTGTTTTACGTCTTGTTTTCACTTCTTTTCATTTAAATCTAAAAACCCATAAAAATCATATCTTTTTATTGTTCTTCATTTCTCATATTATTTACCTTCTGTTCATCATTTTTAAACCCATAAAAACTTATAAAAATCGTTTCACTTGTTTCATATACAATCCCAGCCGTCCCTCGCCCCATAAGCTCTTATCGGTGTATCGGAACCATCCAATCAGGAACCTCTAATCCTCTCTTGTGCAGTCTGGTTTCCAGCATGTATCAAATTTTAAGAGAGAAACTATAAAGAGAACTTACCGACCTCTATCTTTATTTATATAGCAAACTCGATTCGAACATTGATTTTGCCTCCCAATTATAGTCTCATTTGCTCTCAATCTATTTTAAGTACAAATGAAATTTGCGACGTACTTTGTCATTTCGTCTCATCTATTCTATTAAAATAGAAGTCACAACTCCTATTCATGTGTGATTTTTTTTTAAATGGACCATTCATTAACAAAATTTATCATATTTTACAAAGTTTAATAATAATATGTTCTAATATCTTAATTTTTTTATTTGAACTAAAATGAAAATTAAAAAAAAAATCTAACAAAATCTTTTTGATATATTTCTTAAATTTAATTTCTAAATTAGTTCATTGGAATTTTAATAATCATAAAGTATCATTAGAAACTAAAATTGTTTTTTATCTTAATTTTTTATTTGAACTAAAATGAAAATTTTAAAAAAAATCTAACAAAATCTTTTTGAAATCTTTCTTAATTTTAATTTCTAAATTAGTTCATTGGAATTTTAATAATCATAAAATATAATTAGAAACTAAAAATGATTTTTATATATAAAATGAAAATTCAATAAAATATGTTAATTCTATTTCACGGATTATAACAGTTTAAATTGATCAACTTTAAAAGTATAGTGTAAAAAGATTTTAAATAAATTATGTTAGGAAAATCTTCATTTCTATCTCAAATATAAAAATAAAACTACTTTATGTATTAAAAGTAATGTTTACTATAAATCAGTAGTCACTACTTATTTCATGTGTTATTTTTTTCATTTGAACCATTCATTAGCAAAATTTTGAAATTTTACACATTTTAATTATAGGAAAACAAATGTATATTTAAAAAAATCTAACCAAAATTATTTTGGCAATCTTTTAAATTTTATTCAAAAATTATTTAATTTAAAGTATAATTATACTAAAGTGTTATTATAAATTAAGTTAAATTTAATTCTTAATTTAGAAAAAATCAAAATTATATAAAATATGTTTAATTATATTATATTATATAATAAAAATAAAAATTCATTAACTTTAAAATATATTTTACAAAGATTTTTTTTTAAAAAAATTGCTTGATTTAGATTTTGTCAAACGATGTAGAGTAACATATATCTTAGAATTAGAAAATAACACCAAAATATTTATATTTAATTATAAAATTTTCAAATATAGACATTTTTATATTCTTATATAAAAACTTGTGCGGATGCACGGATCAAAATTTAGTCTTATCTATTAAAATATAAGTCATGAATTCTTTCATGTGTGATTTTTTAACTTAGCCATCCTTGAAAAGTTTTATTAAGACAAATAATATATAGAATTTATGAACTACTTTAATCATAGTATCTTTTCATTATAAATATTAATATTAAGTATAAAATTTTTATCAAATCTGTTTCAAGATATTTTGACAATATATTATCTTTAAAAATTATTTGTAAATGTTTCACTAAATTTTGTCATCAAATCATATAAAACAAATGATTATTTTGAACTAAATCTGATAAAATTATATTCAATTAATAAATTTATATATATTTATTTTAAAAAGTAGAAAATATTTATGTTCAAAAATATAATAAGTTGGTAAGATAGGTTAACATTAGTAAACTTATAATACATACATAAAAATTAACATATCCTAGACTTCGCATATATAGTAATATATTATCTAAAAAAATAAAAGTAATAAATACTGGTAAATTTTTGAAGGACGGGTTCAAATTTAAAATAAATTAAATACAATTTTTTCAAATATGTTGTTTCATGCATATATTAATTAGTTTAATGACTAAATGAAAATATAATAAGATAAATATATAATAAAACTACAAATATATATGATGATCTATAACCATCGATTAATTATAATATGTAAACTATAAAATTATTATGAATATTTTAAATGTTTATATAAACATTCAATATATGATTAACGTTAAAATATATATCATTAATAATTTAAAATAAATATTTATGTATATAATCTAGTTTATTAGTTACCACTTCAAACTCACCACTCAACAAATATAAACAATTTATTTCAAATGTTTTTCTACCTATCGTTATGGCTTCTAAAACTAAGATATTAAGAATACATGAAAGAGATAGGTGGACCCAATTCAATATTTTAATTCCAAAAAAACATTGGAAAAAAAGGAAGCAACTATCACGTCTACCCAGGTGGAAATTATAGTTTAATTGCAGCCGTTGGATCTGAGAGGTAGTGCTTAACTGCTTATACGTTTTGATAGCAAAGCTGGCGACAAGAATCCAATCAGATCTCACCTTCCTTGTCTCTCATTAAGAAGCCACCTTATCCATCTCAACCTCATTAAATCGTTGTACCGTTTCAAACTTGTTAACAGTAACATGCATGACTAATTCTTCAAGTTCATAGATGTTCTGCAAACTCATCAGAAGTCAAAAGGTTGTCCAAACTGTGAACGTAGTAGGGCTCCTGAAGATGACGTAAAGCTGTAAAGAAGTATTCTTCTAAAATACGCCGCAGCCAAAGATGGGGTCCTCCCATGACTGGTGCTTGTGTGCATGACACTTGGTCCATTGTTTTCAAGCCGACGACGATACTACAATTATTTTATTTATTTATGCATCTCTTATAAAATATACAACTATAGTTTTCATTATTAAAATATAATTTTTAACACGACCCGAAAAGAACTATAATAATTATCCTTTTAATTGTCTACCTTTGAAATAGACGACAACGACACACCTTTTCCAGAAATTGTTTGGCAATTTACTCATCATTTATAGCATATACTAAAACTTTTGAAAATGTAGTAACGCTTGTTTTACATGTACGACTTTGAGAAATCAGCTGCAAAGAGAAAAAGAAAGATCACAACATATGTTATACGTTGATAATATATACACATAACGACTTTCTCAGGTCAGTTTATTTAACTACTAATATCTCGATAATATATTTCTTAGATAGAAAAAGATACTAGGAGGACCTTTACGGCCTATTCCGCCGTCGGGGGAGCTAAGCTAAGATCCAGATTTAACGGCTGAGATTTCTTCTCACCTCCACACGTAGCAACAGGTGAAAACGCTTTCATTTTATAGAAGTAAAGAGGACGTGCAACGGGAACCTGATAACTCGCACCTCCACCACCACCACCACCTCCTAAGCTAAGCTCGAGCTGAGGAAGTGTAGCTAGTTGAGCCGCCGTGGGAGAGGCGGAGTCTACGGTGCTACTCTGACTAGGACTACGAGGGAAACCGCCTTCTTTCGCGTTGAGCTCAAGAAACGCCGGAAAGTTCGTCTTAGCCTTAGCGCCCCGAAAACCTCGTGCTGCTACGTCGTAGGCACGCGCCGCCTGCTCAGCCGTGTCGAATGTTCCTAGCCAGACCCGAGTTCTCTTAACCGGGTCTCGGATCTCAGCCGCGAATCTTCCCCATGGACGTTTCCTCACGCCTCGGTAACGAAACTTATTCTCACTACTCTCGACCGGGTTCGGGTCGGGTTTCAAACCCGTTTTCATTTTGAGAGAGGTTCGGTGAAAGAGTCTTTTGTGGGAATGAGAGAAAACAAGAGGCATTTTATAGTGAGGGTAAAGCGAACGCTCCTTTTAGGTAGCTTTCCTGTGAACCGGTTTATTACAGAGAACCGGATTTTTTTCAGTTTCTTTTTGTATTATCCACTTAAATATAGCCGTGAGTTTACTGCATTTCTGCAAGTAATCTTATTTTCTTACCTCTAATTTTCTCTTCAAACAAAGACTGCACAAATCACGATACGATGTGGGTACATATGTGATGTGGGACGATTGAAATGTACCAATTTAAACTAAACTTACTAGCTATCAAGAATGCAAATTGGGGTGAGACCGTTTGAGACTATCTTTCACTTATCGATACTAAATCTATAGAAAGATGTAAAAAAGGAAACTTTCATATACATGATTTATTTTGAATCCCCACATTTCTAGAATCATACAATATAATGAGCAAGCAATCTATTATTAGGGAAATCAGGCCTACTAACCAAAAAAAAAAAAAAAAAAAATTGACTAATGTAACACTACCCTCTCTCCCTTTCTACCTTCTCTCTACAAATCTAATTTTCCATTTTTATTTGATTATTTGGCAAATAAACGTTTTATATTTATATTTGGTAAAAAGTTAATACTACTAACAATGAAAAAGTACAATATCGAACCAAATATTCTATAATATGATGAAAAAAATCTTATTGAATAAAATTGGAAAATACCAATTTAACTAACACTTATTTTGTCAACACAAAATTAACAGATATAAATAACCTTTTTGCTATTATACATAACAAAATTTGCAGTTTATGATAAATTGTTAAATACATTTAAAGATAAAACCTAAAACAATAAAGATATTATATTACGACAAAATACATTAGTTAGATCAAATAAAATTGTCAAACATGATGATTAAATAAGTTTGATTATAACAAACAAAATTAACGGCTATAATAGAATTATTGGATATGAAAAAATTGACCATTTAATAAATATATCAACGGAAATTAATATATCAATTAAAATTATTAGACACATTGATTAAATAAAGATGGTTACAATAAAATAAACATTAACGATTTTGTCGGCGCCGATTATTATAGAAATTTGTCGGATACAACGATGAAAAAAAAGAAATAGGACAGTTTTAACGGATTCATCAACAAAAATTAATAAGATCGAATAAATTTGTCGTTTACGATGAAATCAAATTTATCATAATAAATAATATTGACGGCACACAACTATTATATCAAATAAAAATTTCGGATACAAAGACAAAATGAAAAGGAGAAAGAACATAGTTTAGTAAATTTATAACAAAATATGTATATCAAAGAGAATTAACTGACTTTACCATTTTTTGAAACACTACAAATGTTTATGTATCACTATTCAGATCCCAATATTATTTGCAGGGAAAGTATAGTCGAATAGGCACCAAACAAGATATATTCAGTAAAATTCTTCTTATAAAACATATTTTTTTAGGGGAAATTAGGGAAATGGATCATATTGAGAATGTTTTTGTCCTTTTGAAATTTTACAATAATTAGTTAATTTTAGACATAAATATTCTCATAATAATGAAATTAATTATTAAAATTGTTACAAAACATAGAAAAAGATAAAAAAAAATAGTACAATCAGGAAATATTTTATATGTTTTGATATAAAAAAATAATTTTCAATTTTTTTTTGTATTTGTTGATCTAAATTTGTTAAAACGTATATTATAACTCATTTTACAAGGATACAATAGACATTATAACTTGTTTTCAATGTTTTATAAAATTTAGTATTTGTATTCTCAACTTATATCTATGATCTATCTAGATATGGAATAAGTATGTCTCAGTTCTAACCAAAAACTTTGTTCTTTTAAACATATAATATATATTATAGGTTTCTCATTTCATTGTAGAAGAATCTAGAAAACGTTTACCTCTGTTTTATCTTATATTAAATCATCTATTGCAGATATAATATCTTGCTCTTACTTTTATCATATGTTCTAAAAATATTAGAATTTGTATTATAACCTTCAGTCTGTGTGCTATCCAATTTAGAATATGTTTTATATATTTTCCGTTATTTTATATCTTTAAATCTGCTAAAAGTTAGGGAGAAATCTTGATTATTTTTATTCAAATTTACTTATTTTTGGATAAAAATCTACATTGAATAGTGGTGAAGATTTACAGTATACAGAAAAATCTATTAGGGATAACTACGTAAAAAGAACTAGAAAGAAAAAGGAAATCCAGATGATATACGAAAGAGAAGACCTACATGATTCAATAGTTATAGAGAATACTGAAGAGCGCCCTAAGGGAACAGGAGCGAAAGCCAGATACCACCAAAACTTCATGTTCATTTTTTAAGGTGGAATGAGCAAGAAACAACACAAATAAGTTATACGGTTTTTCTTTAACCAAAAAGTTATTTTTTTTTTAATAAAAATAATAAGAAAAATATGATTATTATTTTAAATTGAAGTAACTATGTTATTTGATTAATTAGGGGTTAATTTTGTATTTAAAAAAAATTCAAAAGTATATTGGAACAACTTATAAACTCAAAGGTACAGGGAGACAAGTTCCTTCTCAATATGGTCTGATTAGTTAATTTCTCCTATTTTTTACGGTTTTATTTAATTCATTCAGTAGTTTATTGATAAAATAAATAGTTGTTACATAGTTTTGTTAATATAAAAATAGTTTTTGTTGCATGCAAGAGCACTATTTTGTAAAGAATAATTATATAGGCTCAGAAAAAAAATCTATATTAAAACCCCATAAATTATTACTACATCATAAAGTAAATTCTTTAGAAGTGAAATTGTGTATATAAAATACTGGGTTGCACATTAGGCTGATTATTACAAAGACAAAAATTGTCCTGAAGAAGTGAAAATATAAAATTTTCTGCTTTTGTAGATATTACATATATATTTTGAAAACAACTCAGTTAGATATCAAATGTAAAATTATTGGTCATGTGTTCTTTAAGAAATTGACATGGTTAATAAAATTTTGGTTTAGAATATGAATATGTTTTGTATTTAAAAAAAATGTTAAAACATATTTTGAAACGTATGAATATAAAAAGGAAATTGGTACGGCAATTACAGCGAATGAGATGTTAAAAGCTCATGAAAGAGAAGCAGAATTTGGCAATAGAATCTGGAAATTAAACAACAGAAGCAGCGGCGATCAAAAGCTGAGGAAAATCAGGAAACGTGGCACAATCACGAGGACGCGCGCTTCAGGAACCGCGTTTTAATGAAGACCCGTGATGTACACGTCTCAGGGTCCCACCACCGTCACTCTTAGCCGTTACAAAGGAATCGCTTGAAAGAGCGTTATGGCGTTTGACTGATATTGTGACATAAGCCAAAGTAGCCGCCCTCCCGCTGAGACTTAAACATTGGGTCCCACTTCATATTTCTAAACGTGAGGTATCTGTATTCTTGATCTTCTTATGACACGTTTCAGTAAGGACACGTGGTTAAAGATTAAGGGAGGACGCAGAGAGAGGAGACGATGTGGGCCCACCGACAGTGTTTTCACCTCTTTCTATTTTTCTTGACGGCAGGAAGAGACCGTGAGGTTCCGATTAGTATTATTTTAGTTTGGTTAATTATTATTTGGTAATGGTGTGGTGCTTTATCTTTAACGGCTGGGTGAACAGTTGACACTTCACACCAACTTATGTCTTCACCTCCCTTGATTAATGGATGGATTGGGTTGTATTCTTGTGCCCACAGATTAGGAATTTAAATAAATATCATGATCATCACTAACGTTAAATTCATAAGCTCATCGTCATTTCATATTAAATTACGTTATATTCCCGCCGTCTAAATTTATTTATCATTTAAAAAAAATTATTTCAAAATAGATGTCATTTTATAATTTTAACATAAAATTTATTAATTTTATTTTTATTGCTTGAAATGTAGTTAGATGTATAAATAATAATGTTTTTATTTTTAAAATATATAATATTAAATATTTTTAATCTATACGAAAAATTCAAATATAACTAAAATGAAACAAAGAGAATAATAATTAAAAAAAGATTAAAAAGATTAGACGTTCGACTTTTTCTTTTGTGCAACAGACGCGGGACTTAATATCATATTATAACTGGGTTAGTCTCTTATAAGTTATTACTAGGTGGTTTCCTGCACCATATGAAGAAATAAAAAATTGTAAAATAAATTTATATTTAAAAATTAAATAAAATTTAATTAATTTTTAAATTTATTATTTTATTACATTATTAATTTACATTAATTATATGTAAAAAGTAAGAGAAAATAAACAGTTTGATTTAAATATAAGACAGTTCTCTCAAATAGAACTTTGTTAGGTTTTCGTAAAAATAGATCTTAGAACTAAAATGACCAAAACATCATTTTTTATTTTGAAAATTTCAATTTTTTTTAAAAAAAAATTTGTAAGCCTATCCCCAAAATCTCACTTCTCAACTTTAAACAAAAATGTTTACGATTAGTTAACCCAAATGATATAAGTGTATATTTATTTATTTTTGATAAAACATTTAAGTCTATCTTGGTCATTTTTATTTTAAGGTCTATATTTGTGATTAAAACTTTTTTGTAGGTCTATCTTAAATTTTTTTACTTAAATTTATATTTAATAATATATATGTATCTTTTATCTTTTGGTTAAATTATATTAAATCAGATTCTATACTATTAAGAGAAAATTTTGTTAGATATATAATTATCAAAATATAAAACTAAATAATATTTCTAAAATTATACATGTTATAAATAAAGCTAATGGTATTGGTATTAGAAAATTTAATTTTTTTAAAAAACTGCATAAAACTTTGAAAAAAGTTATTAATAAAAGATATTTAATTATAAAAATACACTTAAAAATATTTCAATATTTGTAATATTATTATATTTATATTTCTACTATTATATTATTTATTATCTTAATGATAATTTATGAGTTCTTTTCCTTATCACTATTTTAATACAAATTTTTGTTTAATCAAACATAAAAAGCAATATAAAAATATTTTTTTTTTATTTTAAATTATATTTAAGAATATGCAT